ACCTCAAGAGGACGCTACACACCCAATTTTCTAGCCGTAAAACCTGTCTACGCATAACGGGTTTTACTCGGTCCACGATTGTTTTAGAGCAAAAACACCAAGTTTAAAAGAGAAAGACAATGACAATTCTGCGAGAATAGCAAATCCGTTTATAAAAAACTGAACAAACAAAAAAGTTATCAATGTTTTAAAAAAGTAAAATGTACACTTTTAATTTAACATTAAATATTCAGCTAAGTACTGAGTATATTGATATGTTAATCCCTCTAAAATGTCGTTATCTTTCGATTTTTCTACTTGGTGTTTTTGTTCTAAAACCATCGTAGATCGAGTAAAACGCCTATCTTGCGTAGACAATTTTTTACGCTAGATTTGTAACTGATGTGCTGCTCCTAACGGGGCATTCGAGTTTTATTTATAGTCTATTTTTATAAAATAGACCACGTGGAGTGCGTGGGCAATGGTCAGCCGCCGCCCGTTGGTCGACCGACACCCGAAAAACGGCAGGATTGAGGTATAGATCAAAACGTTTATATAAAAATAATTTTATTAATTTCATTTGTAATGAATCATATAAACCTGTGACCTCTCCGCCGCAATATGCTCCATCCCCACTGTATTGGCTTTTTAAAATTATTTATACATAACATAATATATATTCGTATAATAGTGGATAATTTTAGAAATGTATTATCACATGTTGTTCTATTGCTTTAAAAGCCGTATGCCAAGTGCCGACTGCCGCGGCGGTACCACCGTAATTCGCGAGATAACAATAGAACTGAATACTGATAATCTAATTTTAACTGAACGTATTATTTAGTAACTATTGGAGAAATATGCCCATACTAAGGAAATACTTTATTTTTTGATGCACGTAAAAGCCGCTATTCTATTTGTCCTATTGTGTTCTGTGTTTTATAGTGAATTTTTTAGCAATTTATTATTTTATTCTTACTTACAAAAATTGTAATTACAATTCTAAAATAATTTTTTTAATTGTAAATTTTATAATAATTACCGATACAATTTATTAATAATTGAAATATTGAAAATATCATATTACTTGTCTTGTGTAAATATAATTTGGTTTTAGTTCATGATTTTGTCGGTATTAAAAATACCAGTAACAAAATTATTTGAAGTGTTTTATTCATAGTTCGTAATGTAAAAATGATAAAAACATAATTCAAGCTATGATAGAACATAGATTTTATATTTTATAAATATATGTTTATAATTAGGCAAACAGTGTTTTTAATCAATAACTAATTCGTGGGTGCGCGCAGATACTATAACTATATGTCGGCTGTATACAGCTTATGCAATTTCAAAGTACACGAATCGTCTACCAACGACGTTCATTCTATAATAAAACACGGTCCCGTCCGAGAAATTGACAGACCGGTTACGTCAACAGCAACGTCAACCACTTTTTGTGTGGCGTCCTCTTAAATTCGTACCGGTATGAAACAACATTCGTAGGTAGTGGATATGATTTTGTAAAAAGTTTTCAAAGATTTATAAATTTGAAAAAATATATTCACCGGTACGTTGCCGGGAAAAGGAACAAAAAATTGGTTCCTTTTTTAAAAATTTTATTTATAATTCACATATACAAATTGGTAAAATATACACAGTAAATCATGCCCTAATCTGTTGTAAGCGATTTTTTTTTTAATTTACCATTATATTAGTGACTGTCCCTGCACACTGCTGAAAGCAGTTAGACAGAAGAAAAACAAGGCGTGGCCCACGTTCTTGTCCAGTATTTTCCCCAGGGTAGCAACATCGGTCTTGAAGTCGACCGATTCGTATTTGCTCAAGTCTGCTAATCCCGACAGATGACCGTACTTTCGCACGTAGAAGGCGAATAATTCTTTGACATTGTTTTTGAATTCTATGTCCGGATTTTGTTTACCAAAGTACTTGTCGAAAATTCCAATGAGATTTGTCACGGGCGTCAAGGGTATATGGTGCTCTTTGAACTTGCGGCCAATAGCGTACAACACTTGCCTCAACAATTCGAAATGTTCACAGGGCGAGTATGACGGTTTGGCCAACATAATGAGGCTCAAATGGGCGAAACGACACATGACCGTCACGCCCACACTTTCCACCACGTTCAACACCCTGACGATGGCTTCATAAGAGTACAGGTCGTATTGATCCGGCGGTGGTTCCGGATAGGCCTCAGCGGTTGCCACCACACTGGCTAGGGTTTCATTGTCAATAGCGAAAAGGTGTTGTCGCAAAACACAATTCGTTCCTTGATAGACAGATTCGTCATTGCACTGGGGCGAGCCTTCCAAGAAGTCATACACGGTGCCGGATTTCAATCTCAACACCAGAAACGTTTGGTCCACGCTGGTCAACTTCTTCAGGGTCTGTTTGCCCGAGGCGTTGTCCTCGATGAGGCTCTCTATAAACGAACACTGGCCGACAAACGAGCACCAGGCGACCACGGCCATCGCTACCATTCCCTTGGAGATGTTGTGCATTTCTGAAAGACGGTTATTCCACTAGTTCTGGATGACTAGATCTGTAGGCAGCGATGAATGGATTTAAGCTTGAACTCGAACCATGCAACGCCGCCGAATTCGCGAAACGACTATGTCAACAAAACGAAAAGAGCAATTTCGTTGTTGTCGGATCAAACAGCATGTGTGCTTACTCAGCAGATGTATTGAGCTCTTGGCTACGTGAGCGTTGTCGTCGTTTGTTTTTCAATGAACACTTTTTAAAAAGTAATAAAAAATACAAAAAAATTGAGTCTGACACGTACGGTTAACGAATTTCGCAATAAGTAAACCGCGTAGCACTGACAAATTTATTAAAGAAAAAAATTCACAAAAAGAAAGATAAATTATACTATACAACCATGAATATAATATATCATACCCAGATAACAATTAAACATAGTTAACATTATTGGAAAATCCATATAATTACATTACTACTTATAATAGGTAAACGGGTTTCAGTTTTGTAGCTGGGAAGGGGTGGGGTTGCACAGAATTTATGGGACAGGGAAATAGGTTCAATTAAAAGATTACTTAATGAACAAAAACAAAATACTTCATTAGAACGTACAAAATAACTGTTAATATAATTAACAGCTGTAATAAAATATTAAGCTGTATAATAGGCTGTGGGAATAAAACTTACTCTCAGTACTTGCTGACAAATCATAGATCATTTTAGTTTGTAGTTCATCGAAATCGTATAGTAGTTTAAATAGAAAAAACAAAATTTTAAAAATATGATTTTTTAATAAAAAAATGTTGGTTATCTCTTGCTTTAACTCAAAAACACAACTTTTTTAGAAATTTTGTGTTATTTGATGTGCGTTTATATTTTCGCTGTTTACATATTATATGAAAATATGATAATCGTTTATATACATTTTTTTTTGCAAGTTCAAACGACGGTAGACATTATTAAGATTCCCATATTGAGCTTGCATTATAATATTGTACACCTAACATCGACAAATACACGGTCTTTAGAATTTCATGGCCAACCTGACTTGTTGACGATTTTCTAAACTGATGAAAAAACAACCTATGTGAATCATTTTTGGTTTTTATCATACCATGATATTTTAAGGTCATAGTAAGTTTTGCCCCTAAAACTAATATAAATTTTTTTATTATTCAAATTTATTATAATTTAGAATATGTATTTAAACGAATTTATGAAAAAAAATTTGGTGACATTTGGTATTTTCTTTTTTTGGGCAACAAAGGGTTAAAAAATGTCGACCGTGTTAATTAATTTTCCAATTAATTTGTATAAGCTTCAAGGTACTATTTTTAATTTATATAATTTTTCCTATGAGTTAAAGTCATTTTGGCTTAATTAAGACCAAAAAGAAAGACAACATTTCAACTACTTAGGATGGTCCAATTTAAATTCTGTAAAGAGATTCGAGTTCTTTGACTACTTAATTATTGTATTGTGGCAGACGATTTTCATTTTCTGTTTCTAGTTATTAAATAAACAAAATTTACAATTTTCCAATATTACAAGACAATTTTTTAACATAAAAAAATTTTAAAATCCGCTTCCAACATAACCTAGTAAAGTTTCCAAAGAACTCGTACATATTAAAATCGGGCCATCCTAAATTCTGCTCCGCATCGAAGCTAAAAAATGTATTATGTACATATTTTCTCTACATAGACATTACATACAAGGTAATATACCTATGACATTAAAAAAAAAACAAAATTCCGACTGTAAAGTCAAGTGTTTTTTTTATACAAATATTGTCTAGAAAAAATATTATTACTTATATAAATAAAAAAAAAGTAATCAATGTCTTTTTACATCAGTTCATAATCAAGCTATATAATGAATATTAAATCTTTTTTTTTTCTTTTTTATTAATATGTTGTAATAGAACAATTTTAACTAAAGACTATCTTTGGATACATACAAAAAACTATGATGTTGAACTCACAACATCTTATCTTCTTTAATTTAAATTTGAATACCAAAAATTCAATCCGAAACAAAACTTTCACTACATTATTATAAGTATCTTTACTCTAAAACCTTAATAGATCGTGTAAATTATAATCTATGTTGGCTTGTAAAAAATAATGAAAATCAAAAACGTTCGATAAAAACAACGGCAAAAATAAATTTACATAATAGTTTTAACCTCAACTTGAAATATTTCTAAGAATTGCATGTCCGAACTTCTCGATAATATTTTTTTTAAAAATAGTACACCTTTTATGAAGCATTATTTCGTATTTTCCATATTTTTATTTCACAAAGTTGTATTTTAAATACAAGACATAAAAGTATGTTTAGAGACACGTGTATAGATTCACCCATATTTGTATACAACTTGCACGTTACACAATTGTTGTAATTGTGTAGATTAAAACAAGCGTAGGAAATAGTACTTTTTTAGCTTTAGGTTTTGTTTTTAATGTTTAAGCGAGAAGAAATTACATGAATTTGAATAAATAAAAACAAAGTGTGTCAAAGAATATAAGTAAATAAATGACAATTTAACCGGCCAACAGTATGTCTTTAAGTAACATTATTTTTTTTAACACACACAGCAAGCGTTTTTTACAAAATTAATTATTACAACTGGTTTGGAATATTTGAAATACAAACGGATATAGGTAAAAACAAATTATAAATAACAAAATACGGGTTTAAAAAAAATTAGTTAGGTTTATTATTTGCAACAAAGATTAGCTTAGCAAACGCGGTTACACACCACTGTGGCAATATCAATATTAATAATAACAATAATTTAAAAACATATTATTATTATTTTAACAAGCTCATATTATTTTAATTGTACAGTGTTAAAAGTAATTCATGTGCTTTTGTAATTTTTTTTACAAAAGCCTCTACGAATACACTAAATACGCCTTATACTGCTAAAATACTTTTGAAAGTCACACACACGATAGTTAGTAAATATTTCAAACGATTGAAACAAACAAATGTTATATAAAATAGTACACTTCAAATTGCATACCTGTTTTTTTTAAAAAAGAAATTATACAATTTTAAAAACGCCAAAACCGAGTAATATCGTACTGGACATTTGTATCGATATTATTAACCTCGTATTGCTTAATTTTTTACAAATGCTATTTCTTGATGTTTGCGTTAAATATATATCTATTTTATGAGAAATTCATTGAAAAAAATAAAAGAGGATCGTGCCATCGACAAGCGTAACGGCTACATGTGAATTACAGAAGCCTAAGTACGGTTAAAAATATTATAAAACATTAATATTACATAGTTACTTAAAAGAATAATAATAAAAAAAAAAAACCATTTAACAAAAAAATTAAAAAACAAAATAAATAAAACAAAAGTTAATTATTATTATTTGACTACTTTCTGCTAAAAAACAGAAACGAGATCTCTTATATTATGTTTAAAAATATTACACTCTATAATACAGTATTTTGTATTATGAAAACATAAAGTGAATGTACAAATCATTTTTTTTTTAATATATACAAAATATAGTAGAACAGTCTATATTAATATACGGAAGAAAAAAATATGCTAAATATTATTATATATTATATCTAATGTTATTGTCTTTTTTTGTTGTGGAAAAGAATGTTTTAAGTAAAAAAAAAAATTGTTTCGGTAGTTACGGCATTTTTTTAAAAAATATAGCGTTGTCCGAAAGAATCATTGAATACGTTAACGTGTTCAGTGGTTTGCTTATGAATATTTCTGGGATTTAACATTGCTATTGTAATTTTAGTCTTTTATTATTAATTTCTAATTTTTTGATATAATACTTCATACTTGTACATTTTTTGTTTACTTATAATTTTCAAACACTAATTCACAACAAATAACCGATGTATGTTTATATTATTTACGACAAAGCTTTAGCATTACGTTTCAGTGTTAAGTTTACAAAAATAAATTGAAGTGAAAATCGACGATTAAATTATTTAAATAATTAATAGCAAAGAAAACGTACATTCAAAGCACATCGTAAAAGGAATGATGGAAAATTATAATAATAATACAATATTATTGATGTCTTTTTTTTGGGGGTATAACGGATCGAAAGAACCACTGTAGACAATAGGTTAATTATTTTAAAGTATGAAAAAATAATACTGGCAAAAAACAAAAATTATAGTAATAATAATAATTCTAGATTTAACGAAGATTAGTTCAACTTAGGCGACTTAAGTGCATGGTTAACAAACTATAATATTACTGTTGTTAATAATTAAATATCTATAGATTGTAGAAGCATGTGCAGCTGTCTGAACATATGACCCAAATTCCCTTGGACGGTCTGTCTCTTCAGCACAAACGCTCTGATGTTCATCAATATGCCGTGGCATTTGCGGCATTTGTTGCACCTGAAACCACACGGTTTTAACAATTTTATTAATTATAATAATATTATGATCGACAATACGATCCTTGTTTAACAGGCACATTATTACGGACCGCCCGTTCTATTTAATTTGAATTACGTTATGTTTTAACGTGTTTATTTTTTAATAGCGGCACTAAATAGCGGCACAAAAACTTTTTTTATGTTTATTTAATACTAGACCTCCGATATTCAAACCTGGGCATTGTTTAGAAAAAAATATAAATAATTATTAAAAATTAAATTAAATAATACAAATGTTATGATACAATGTTAGCTTGTCGCCGAAGAGCCAGATTGTGGTGTCTATTAACGGGATAGTTTCTTAGTATTTATTATTTAATGGCTCTTCGATAATTATATTATTATTGAACATTACTAACCGTTCTTCTTGCATTAAATCTACTCCTATGCCCGAAGGTCTGTGTATGTTGTTTTTGATGACTGGCATAAAGTACTGTAGTATGTCCCTTATAGCTTTAAAACTGACGTTAATAAACCTGAAATACAAGATGTAAAATTTAAACCAATTTGTACCTTAAATGTTAATACATGTAATTTATTTAAATTAATATATAAATTAAGGACTCTCGCATGTAATCTATAAATCGCTGATTATCGTAATAGTTTTTAAAAAATCAGAGTTAGAGGATGAAATTGTTGAATAATTAATTTTGAGTACATGTTTAATGGAACTTAGTATCTTTAAATGTAGCTTGACCAGTATTATTATTTAATAAGTATTTATTCACAAAGAGTTCGATAAATAAAAAAAATATTTATTAGAATCAAACCTGAACAAAAATTTATTAAATTATTCTTTAAACAAAAATTAAATAATTATTTTAATTGATAAATTATTTTTAAAAAAAAATCAAGAACTAAAAATAAAAAAACAGTATTTAAATAAACCTGTACTTATTAACTTGAGTAGTTTGTTTTTGTTTACATACAAATGGAAATAAGTAAAGAAAATAAAAATATTTAAATAAATGTAATCGAACTAATTTGTAGTGAGAAAATTATTTAAAAATACAAAATATTTTATATATTCAGATAAAAATGTATTTTAACTACAAATTATTTGAGGTTTTATGTAAAAGTTATTTCAAATAATTTAATATTATTAAATAGTAATATTATTTAATTTAAACTAATAATGCAGTTATTAAAAAATTATTTAAATTAAAATAACTATTTGATTCACTAAAATAAAAATTGTATTTTAAATAATATTTTTTTTTTGGATAATCATAACTGTAAAAGTAAATTGAAAATTTTTGAATTTTACTTCTTAAATATCTAGTCTTTGAAGAACTTACGCTTCGTTACCGCTCTGAATTAAATCTGATATCGATGGCAATAGCATACTACAAACGTCAAGGCACCATAATTTCCTAGAAATTAAAAGAAAACCATTATCAAGATGTCAGCGAAACAAACCCTGAAATAATATATTACGGCCGCTGTGTGAGGACCGATATAAGATCGGCTATAAGAGCGTCATCGTTCATCGAGACGGCTGAATTGACTGCAGACTAAAAGAAATGAAAAGAAATGAAATTGTAGTTAAAAAAAAAAATGATCTATTGCTGATATTCTAAAATTAGCATTGACATTAGACGCTTACTTTGAAATTTTTGTTTATCCACATTGTCTGTATAATATTTAGATTGCGCTGTCTTTCCTTGAGCACTCCCATAGTGGATCTATGATTTTTCGACAGATAATCCAGGATGTCACTTTCGTCAGTAATTGTGTTTAAGTTCTGTGAAAAAGAAAATGTTCAAATTATAACAACTCTAGTTGTGAAAAATTACAAACAATTATTATAAAAACAATTGTACGTCTTTCAGGTCTTCAAAGTCGTCCAACGGATAACTGTATTTCTTCGTTAGCCTATCAGTCTTTTTGTGCTCTTGGGTAACCACAGTGGGTTCAGCGGGTAACATCCGTCTGTGATGGGATATATGAGGCGAAGTGGTCTCGTCTTGAGAGATTTTTCTTTGCAACTGAGGCGAAGTGTATTTATTTCCATAAACGAAATTATCTGGACAACAAAAAGAATTTTCAAAAAATGTTGTGAAAAATACATTTAAAAAGTATTCAAGTAAAAATTCATTTTAAACAAATTTCCAATAGCATTTTAAATATGTATCTAAGTAGAAGTGCAAATACTGATTTTTTTTTTTTTAACATATTTGTATAATTATTTAAAAAATATTGTAAAAAACCCGTTACTTTAATATAAAAAAGTCTTTTAAAACATGATTTTAGAAACATTCATCGGACTTTAAACTTTAATTATGTTTTTAAATATTTTAGTAATAATTTTTAAATACCAATAAAAAGTTTATTTTTTATAGATATTTTGTTAAAACATTTTCTGATATTAATATTTGATATTCTGGCTAAATAATGTGAATTTTTAAATTTTTACAATTTTCAAAAATATTTTAACAGTAAGTTATAAAATTTCATAATTTTTTTTAGTTGCTACAAGGAAGTTCCGATTATTAAATAAATACTACTTTTGACCGGTGGCGAATATAATAGGTTTAAACAAATACAGCAGTTATTCAACATTAAATACAATTAACATTATAACACATATTTCTATTTTAGGTAAGCATTTTATAGTTATTTGAACTATTATGCTGAAAAAATTTTAATTTCCGTTTTGATAATAAGACACTTTTATATTTTTGTTTATACCATACATTTTATTGTAAAATCACCAAGGAAAGGAAACGCATAAGTTATTGTAAAAAAAAAATGTTTTATCTTTATGCAAGACGACACTTATATATTGAAACGTTTTAAAGTTTTCATTATGTTAAGATATCTAAAAATGGACAATTATAAAGTCAAACTTCTCGTTGTTTTGTTACACCTTTACTATACAACGTACTTGTAGAAATAATCGACGAAGTCCCTTATAACTTAGTCAAAAATAAGTTTAGAGATTTAAAACTTTGTAAATTTATTATTTAGGATTGAACGCGGATAAAAATCGACTATTTTGTTTTATAAAAAAAAAAATACTGGGACCAAAAGAAAGAAAGAAATTTCTAATAACGTTAAAAAGTTTTTAGATTTTTTACTTATAATAGAAATATAACATAAAACAGATATTTACTTTTTTCATTATTAAATATTGTTTTCAAAGTAAATTTTTTGTTTTTTGATAATAATTATTTTTGGGTTATCAGCTTTAAACACCGGTAACCGATATTTAAAAACAAATATGGATTCAAGATCTACTTAAAAAAAAACAAAAAAACTAATCCAGTTTTAATTTAAGTCTAACACACACACACACACTTACCGTTTTGTTTAAATACTGGCAATGAAGAAGGACGTCGCGTTATACTTTCGGAGGCTATGTTTGCCGCCGTGACACTTCGCATCGAGACCGAAGAAGTCATGTACGGGTTTATTCGGGGATCAGAATGTTCGACCATACTCGGCGAGTTGTACAAAGAATGAGGACTATGATAATCACTGATAATCCCCGACGAATTGATGTCTCTATCGGAATGCGCCATATGAAACGATTCGTACGGCGTAGATTCCATTGACGACGTTTCGGCCTCTGAATAACTAGTGTGCATCAACACAGCTTGTGGTATATCTAAAAGACATGCTATTTGATTGGTTGTTGTTCAAATAAACACACAATACAAAAATATAATACTTACCAAACGTATGTTTCTGTTCGTCTTCTTTGGACAAATCGTCTAACGATGGAGAATACTTATTGACCGAATTTATTTTATTCACTAAAAAAAAAAAAACTTATTTTATTTACTAATTAATATATTTTTATTTATTAATAAACTATCCAAATTATTACTTACAGTCAATCGGAGGGTTCTTTAATATAGGACTCAAATTATCTGAAAGAAAAAAAAAACATGTTAATTTATGGTCATAATAATAGTTTTATTCAAATAAAGTTTTTAAAATGTTTTTTTTTAATTGATACTTGGAAAAACTATTTATTTAAATGAATGAAAAATATTAAATGTGGTTTTATAAAATAGTTATCGCCAAGTTTTATTGGATTTACTTAAGTATGTATAATATGAATTTATGAAAAAAAATACATTTCAAAAGTAAACGATTTGGGATAGAAAAATATTTAATTTGTATAGTACAGCATATCACTATATTTTTTTTATTAATATTTTGTTTGTTAATTTTTCTTAGAATTAGAAAAAATTCTGTTTCATTTCGGTTTTAGAAATTTTTAAGATATTTGAATTTCAATTATTTTTTTTCAATTTCCCGTATTTTTTCTTATCAAAAATTTACCTCTAATTTTGTTTTATTTAATTTAAAGCGTTTTATAATATCATTAAATTTAGCTGCTTTATGCCGTTCTAAACGTTCTTCAGACATTGATTTTACGATACGATCGTTTCTAAAAAAAACAAAAAAATATTGTCAATAAGAATTTTTGTACAGTAAATCGGTTAACGCACTGGGCCTTGCTCATTTTTATTAGAATAATAGTTTTTATTATTTTTTTAAATATCGACTGCACATAATATGAATTTGTGGACAATTTGAAATAAAATAATAGTTTATAATAATATAAAAAATTTCATTATGTACTGTACATACCATCTTCTGACATTGGAGATTTTGGAGTTGGACTACGATTTACTAAAATAAAATAATAAATTATTATTATTACAAACAAAAAGTCAACGCTAAAGTATCATTCCACATCTTATCGCACAGACTGGTTGGGGACTAAAAATTAAAATTGTTCGCACAATCTTAGTTAACTTGTGTAAAAACAAAAATGAAATATGCTTAAATTTGTATATTTTTTTTCTTATCATTTATTCTACGGCTTTTTATGATTTGTCGTGGAATAGGTCAATAACAAAAGTTTAAACTAAAAAATAATGATAAAAAGATGATAATAACTAATAAAGTGAAATAAACAGTTCCTTACGAGTTCTATTCGGTTTGAACACTGAATGATAATCGATAACGTTGTTAATAACCCCTTGATTGTCCTCCTCGATTTCTGTTTCGCTCTCGTCGATCAACTTCATATTAGGTCTGGAAAATATAAATAATAAAATGTAAATAATAACAAAATTAAAAAAACATTGAAAATAGTAAAATATTACTTGGGTTTGATGATTTCTCGAGTTTTTTGTTTATTGAAACTTTTCCGGACTCCAGCATCTCTTGTGAACATGGTGTTGCTGGCTTTCAACGACTTGTCCGGAGGGGAAAATTGATTTTTAAATGGATAACCTTCGGGCAGGTTGATCACCCACGTCGAAACATTAGTTGAATAATGAGTAGCTCCCACCTGATTAAATAGAAATTAAAACATAATAAATGGCTAAATCAAAAGCCAAAACTTAACAATGATATGTATACAAGATGATAATTTTATCGGGAACCACTTAACATAATATCGGGTTTAATTAATAATTTCATTTTTTTTTCTTAGTATTTTTATATGATATAAATTTTTTATGTTCCTACTGTTCCTCCAAAACTAATTATTTTTATACCAACTTTTAAAACTTAAATACTATTTAGTATTGCATTCATTTCATGATGGCAGCGTTGGGCCTTCATGGCCCGTTAAGCTACATGATGATGATTCATTTCATTAACTTCTTAAAGTGAGAAAAATGTACAAAATATTTTGACTAGTCGATAACCAGTTTTGGATAACTACTTTTTATGTTATTGAAGTTTCACGTTTAGGGTAGTAGGAAAGGTGGAGTGTAGTATTACCACATTGATCGGTACCCGAGGCCATATTTCCCATTAAGCTAAATAGGCACGAGCTTATGGCCCCCAAATTAAAGGGACCTCATTTCAATTACACTATCTTATAGCCAATAGGTTTTTCTTATTTTATAAGCAATACAAAATTATAATATAAAATTAAAAAATTAAGAATTGTGTAGCATGAATTGTATTAGGTCGTGTAACTAATGCTGGTTTAAGTATCCCAACACCATATTATTCAAAATTTATAAGTTGCAGTTTTCCTCATTGTTTGATAATACAATACAAATGCGTACTATTCTATCAGGCTAATGTCTTGTTTATGGGTGGAAAATAATTATTGTGTCCTATGTATAGAGAGGAGGAATTTCAGACGATTTCTAGAGAACTTATAGGAAGGAACAGCTATAAAAATTAGGCTAAGTAGGAAATAAATATACAGAATCAAAAATGCTTTTTAATACGCTTTCTGGAGTTGTTTTGTGTTTTTTTAACAAATCGGGGTTGAAATTTAAAATGTGATAAGTACTTTCTAATGGTTAGCTGTGATGGTGAAAATTAAACATAATTCTTATGGTGGCTACTTTTTCAAAAAAAAAAAAAAAATTGGTATTATTACTCAATTAAGTGGTTTCCAGTAGTAGTAATGAAATATAAATGTTGGGGAGGTATTTATTTAAACATGGAAAGGGGTCTCTAAGGTATTTTGCTTTATGGTTCAAAATGTATTTATCAGGCCCTGTGACTGACGGTACCTACATCTGAACAAATTACAAAAAAAACATACTATTTGATTATCAGTTACGGCTAACTCATTAACTGATCCCCAATCCAGAGTTAACGAATCACAGGTTCTCGTCGGTTCCCAGCCATAAACTCCGAGGTAGTTTGTACCACCGCCATACACGACATCACCTTTAGCACTAAACTGCAAACACCTGGAAAAAATAAAACAAATAGTCGAGTTAATTGTTAGGTTTAAAATTTATAGCTTGAAAAGAACAAATTTATTTCAAAGAGTTGGTTTTTTTAACTGGTTAACTAGTTCACTAACATGTTCACAATTGTAAAGAACAAAAACGTAGCAAGGTCCCTTAAAAAAATTAAAAAAATTTAAGTCTTATTTTCAGGAAATAAATTGTCTTTAATAAAGACTTGATTGTTTTAATGACAAAAAATTAAAAGACGAATTAAAAGAATTCTTTCTATAAAATCATTGGAGAGTTAATATTTTGATGCTGTAAACGTTAACTGATAAAAAAAAATTTTAAAAAAAAATCACAGTTCTAATGCAACACACATTACGTTACCTTATTGTAGATTTTTCAGTCTCTATTTGCGAAACTACGCTAAATCTTTCTAAATCTAAAATGTTAATTTTTTTGTCAGCTCCGCTGGTGGCAAGTAAAAATACTAAAGGATGGAACTGGATGGAAGTGACAGTTGCTTTATGAAGTTTGTCGAACTCGTGCAGCATACGTCCCACTCGCAAATCCCAAATCTAAAATGTTCGTAAAAGAAATTTAAAAAAAAATGTCAATATAATATAAATATAAGCATTGTTAGGTGAGAACACGTTCAAAATTAATTAATTTATTATTGATTGATATCTAAACACTATTAAATTATTTTATCAAGCATGAAAGATTTATATCTTGTTTAATTAACATTTATTTTGTTATAATATACAAAAAAAGTAAATGTGGACACGCAATATTATTCACCATTTTATTATTAAAAAAAAAAATTAAGTAGGCCTTATAGTAAATAGATCCGTCAGCAACTTTTTTTAGAACCGGCAAAATAAGCGTTTTCCAAAGAAACCATTTATTGTGTTCTGCATAAATATTTTTATTATTATTTATTATAGGAATAATTTTATTTCTTTTTATTGAAGATAAAAGATTTTCAGATATTAGCCTTAGCCATACTAGAAGCAATCAAATATTTCACACAATCTGTCGATGACAAACGCTGTATTATACTAAGCGACTCACTCAGTGCAATAACAAGTCTTAAAAATACAACCAACCCTACCGATATAGCAAGAAATATCCAAAACTCCTGTCACATTGCACGGTCCGCTGGTAAACACATCTTTCATGTGGATTCCTGGACATTGCAATATAGCAGGTAATGAAAAAGCCGACGAGGTTGCCAAACTTTCACACATGTCACATAAAGCTAAAAAGCATATAAAAAATCTCATTACAGAAAGGTGGCAACAATATTGGTCTAATCAAACAAACAAACTCAATGAAATAAAAAAATCAATACTCCCTTGGCCCCCTCCTCCCGACATCTCCAGAAGACAAGAAACAACTATAAACCGGCTAAGAATCGGCCATACCTCACTCACTCACCGACACCTATTGACAAGGGAGGATCCTCCTATTTGCACTACCTGCGGGTACAACTTACAATCAAGCACATCTTCATAAAGGGCAGAAGTAACCATCAAGGTCGTACGGAAATCCTCGGTACCACCCACCTATATGAAATCTTCAGTCCAGAACCAACCGCAATCCAAAAACTATTTATCTTTCTAAAAAAATCTACTTTATATAAAGAAATATAACATGTATACTATATATAATTTTAAGTCTATATGTAACTATTTAATAAGAATAATTTAAGTCACTGTTCGACCAATGGCCAGAGCTGCCGCGGTTTTTTTGTTAAATAAAAAATTTCAGATATTTCTTGGTTATTAATGATTTATTTTGTTATTATATTGTAAATATTATCAATTTATTATAACATTTACACAAGCATTCAATTATTATACTTATTCATTTGCTATATGTATTTATAAACAAAAAAATGATTGACTAAAGAAAAACTCAATAACTTTTTTAAAAATGCCGAAGGGGTAATTTTGAAGAACACCAAATAAACGATTACAATAAACCCTATTACAATAACACTCAATAATTACTAATCAATTGTGTAGATATTTTATACTATGACACGAATGTCGATTCACCCCCTACACGCTATTTAAAAGTTTCATTTGAAATGTTTATTAAATTAATCAAAATTAATGTTAATCAAAATTTAAAAATTTGATTTACTGATAGTTATTAAAATATTGTACAATCATCGTGAAACTAGTAATTTTAAAATTTCAATTTTGTTGTTCGCAAAATAAATTATAGTTGGATACATGTGTATCAATTATATCTAACTGATTAAATGTACTTGCTAAAAAAAACTTAAAGCATGTAGAACAATAAACTAATAATTTCAATTACCTTAATACCACCATCTTCGCCCGCAGAAGCTATCCACTGGCCATCCGGACTGAACTTTAAACACGACAAAGGTCCCTCGTGACCTTTATACATGTATATACAATTTTTATGTCGGTAGTCCCAAAGCTGTCGAGGTAAAAAAAAAAATAGAATGTTTTACTAGATATAGTGCAAAAAATAATTATCATTTAATACAAACATAATATTATATAATAACAGTTACCTTAATACTAGTGTCTGCGGAACCCGACACCACATAATTGCCTAAAGGATAAAAATCTAACTCCTTTACAGCCGACTTGTGTCCACTAAAGGTGCGTAAAATTTTTTGAGCGGCCAAATCCCAAATTTTAAGAGCGCCCGTTTGACTACCAGCACCAACCAACTCTTCAGAATGATCAAATTGGACACATTCGATTGGCGTTACATGGCCACTTAAGCTCTGTAATAAATATTTGTTTGATACATTGTTTCATCAATTATTTACGTCTGTTGTCATCAGTTTGGCTTAACATTTACAAGAGTATGCAAGTTTAGCCTATAGTTCCACTTTTAATAAGCCACATTTAATTTTTAAGCTAACTGATGAGATTAGAAAAAAGTATACGTAACGATTCATACAATTCAATTGACGTAATATTTTCTAAAAAAAATTAATTGCATTAATGCGGATATAAGTAACAAAATAAAATTAAACACGAAAATTAAATTTTCAAGAAAAATATGCGACGGGAAAACAAATACGATATGTCTATAATTAGTGTCTTGCACTGTATATACAATTGTAGATACGTAAAATCTCTCAGTAACATTGCTATAATAAGCTAGTCGACCGTAAAAACTATCACTTACCAAGATACAATTCTCGTTTCCAACAGCCCACAAATTAATTTTGTTATCTGCGCCACCAGTAGCCAACACTCGGCCGCCCGACTTTTGACCGAGAGCCAAACATGAAACGTTTGCATTGTGAGCGGAAAATTCTTCTAAACGAATAAAATTTTAATTAGTAATAATTATCTAACACAAAAATACAGATTGCACAACGATAATGATAATACTCACGTAATTTACAAACATGTTTATTGGGATTGGCCATTTCTTATGGACTTATTCTCTGTAAAAAAAAAATTCACATGATTAAACTTTTTAAAAAATAATTTATTGGTTGGTTAGTTAAGACTACCAGTATTCTAATGCGGATGATTTGTTTTTAAATTGAAATTTTAATTGTCTTGTATCATAAAATATTCAAAGATAACATATTATTTGTTATCAGATTAGTAAAATGTACAAAAAACCTAATGCATTCTAACGATTAACCGAATCGATTTCATTAAACAAATTATCCATAACAGTTATATTACCAGTACTAATACGATCAGTTAAGACTGAACATCCGTTATGATACTTGAATTGCGCTGATACTAAAAAAATTAACTGATACCGCCATTAGTCGTACGTCGTCGCACTGGTTTCATCAATTTGGTGGCTGTGCAACAAAATAAAAATGACCAGGAGCACGCTTAATACTTTCAAATAGCAAAAACGGCTACTACGTAATATGTCGCACAATGATTGAAAGATAAAATTTACACAGACAACAGTGATATCTTACAAAAAAATATGTTAACTATTTAGTTAATGGGATGTTTTAAAAATACAAAAATTCGGATCGGTCGTACGAGGGTGTTATAATTTTACATGACAGGCGCCGTAACAGATTTCCAGGGCGAATCGCGGGTTGAACCTAGACTATAGCAATTAAAGGTGGGGGAAAGTGTTTGTGTGATGATATTTTACTTGAATGACGGGGAAACAATAGTAATAATAGTTAATAGAAAACATGACCACGAGCGAATTAGAAAATTCGATCGGACTTACTTTCACAAAACGATCGGAAATCATTAAATGTTTTCGACGCACTGATATCTACGCGGAAACGTTTCGACGGTGCACTTAACGATAACGAAATGTGTTTAACATGTTAATATTGTTGTTTTTACTTTTCAACTGACGGACAGTGAAAAAATACCCAAAAAAGGCAAAATGTTTCAAACTACGACAGCTGCTGCTGTTGCTCGCTAAACATTGTTAATAGGTACCTACTGCTGCAGTAAGCTGTTTGTTGCCGTTATGTGGGGACACTCGACTGCACAATGATAAGTGATAACGGCTACATCAGAATAGATAACAGCTGCGGCCATGGATTTTACTACGATATTGTGTTATTAACTATAATATTGTGATAACAATATTATGTTATCAGGGTCGCCCGACCAAGACGTGGCCCTGACCGTATAACATGATTGTGTAGTATATTATAATACCTATTACACATTATTATGTTAGATTAAGATACCTATCATAGATCCTACGCTTTTTTATTTTTTCTGTACACCAAAAAAAAAACATCGTTTATATTATAACGATCGCAGCAGTAGGTAGGTACTGAATAAATACATTTATATTATAATATACTATTGTTTCAAGGGTATTTCTTAAAAAACAGTATATACATATATATTATTGTCACAGTACGTTAGTCATTCGTGGGTTATCGATTTTTGTTTGTTTTGTTCATAATATTATCGTTGCTGTGCGGTTTTTTACACCTTTATTATTTACACAGCGGTTCAAAAATTTTTTTTTCCGAAAAAAAAACGCAACCATCAAGAAATAATAATATTAAGAGGCCGATGTATTAGCTAGGCAATTTTACAAAATATGAAACATTAAGATAAAAAATAAAATTTTTTAACACATAGTTATTGAAGGAGAACGGAAAGAGGCAAATTTTTTACAAATATTCATTATCTGCTTTAAATCTGCCCATAACTCGGAGAAAAATAACTTAAAAAGTTTTGTAACCAGAAAACTTAATATTTACAAACTTACTTTCGAGTTAGTTGGAATTTCAAAATGGCTTTAAGATTAATTGTTGTCAAATATCAAAACAACAATTATGAAATATTGGTTTTTATTAATATGTTTCTTAGACGTTTTATAAAATTTCAAGGTCATATCACATATGTGTACCCGGACTTGTTTTATTGCTATTCAAAGTTTAATTATTGTAATTTAGCAGTTATTCGAGTATCAATTTCAGAAAATTACATTTCTTTTATGATTTTTTAAACCTATAATATTTGAAAAGAAAAATTGTCCTTATTAGCTTGGATGTGATACACTAAACATTTATAGTATATTTATTAGGTAATATATATGGACCTAAATTCATTAGTAACAAAAATAAGAAAACTTTCTTATGTCTTTTAACAGCCAAGGCCTACTTTAAGCAGTAACCTAGTTAAAATGGCATACAAAGCATTGGGTGCAGCAAACAAATGTAATCTTAATAAATTACAAATCGCCCAAAATAATATTTTGAGATTCATTTTAAATAAAAGCTGCGATTACCACGTTGAGAACCTGTATAAGATATTTTATGTGCTAACATTTAAAACAACTTTCCTACCAAACAGCTGTTACCTTTATTATAAAAAATAATCTAGCAAAACCAATTTGCCACAATTTTAACACCGCAGGGGCAGTGCCGTCGGGGGCAAGGGCCCCAAATTCACACAAATTACATTATTTACTAAATATCATAATTTTACATTTTTTTTTCTTAAAATGTTTTTAATATAAATCTCGAACGAAAAAATATTAAAATTAAGGACAGTAACCATCAGCCTTCTTGTTACCTACGTTGCTTTTCGCAAACCAAATACCTAAAAAGAAGGTAAAGCTTTTAATAAACATTTACAATTGTGTGATGTTATATACCAACATTTCTGCGGTATTCACTTTTTTTAAGTATTTATAGTGTAAGTTATCTACGTACACATCGGACTTGTGCACACTGGGTATTTTTCTGTATGTATCTGGTCTTAAATTTTGAATTTCTAAAAATAATAGATTTACAAATAAATATAAAAATAATGTACTACTTCCACTAAATATTAATTACCGATATCCGGTTGATCTTCATCATCTTCGTCCGAAAGCATGCCATCAGCAATCAGAACTAATATCAAGTTTATATGTCATTAATATTGTAAGCCAAATTTAAATATTTTGACCAAATAATCATGACTATATAGTGTTTACATTTTCATTATAATTAATTTTTTTACCATAAAACACAACATTTGATTGGTATATAATATTATCTTTGCAGTTTAAATTATGACCAACAAAACTACGTGAGTAAACAGAAGAATTTATTGATATTTATCGTTCTGAACCGTGTCTTTGGAAAATTAAACAAAAAGGATACCACGATCGAAACAAAAAAGATGCAATTTTTACTACTTTTTATGTTTTTCCTTAATAAAAAAAAAATTTTGACTACAGATTTTTGAGAAAATTGTATATGTTATAGTTCCATTTTAGATCTATCTTCGGTCTAATTTTCAGATCTAAATCTCTAAAATTTTGCTTAAAAAAGTGAAATAAAGAAATAATTCTATCCCTTCAAGGAGGAAGGGTTTATGATTTTTGTTTGGTTTGTTTATGGTTATCGATAGTACAATTCATATAAATTTGGAGCTTTTTCGACTATTTTAAAAAAAGTTGTAGACCATCGTAATTTTAAGTTGTAAAATTTGTAAATTTTTTGGGTGTTTTTCTCGATTTTGATGGGGAAGGGGTGATTTATTTTTATTTTTGGCCTATTAATGTACCTTCCAGGTATGATTTCTGATATATATAGTTGCTACACGAAGAAATCAGTTCAGCGGTTTACGAGATATCGTGGGTCCAGACACAACTGAAGCTGAAAAAACACAAAAATGTTCCAATTATGTTTTTAGCATTGATTAGATAACTAAGCGAAAACAATTTTTAATTATTAACCAATTTGAAACGATTTCTTTGACTCAATTGAGAAAATTGTAAATATTGTATATTATGTTCAGCTACGATGCGGAGCTGCGAAAGTATTGTTTATACACGGTGGATTTTTATCATTTAATTTTTTTTGTGTATGTTGAAACTCATAATTGTTTTTAACCAATAAGTAAAAACTTAAAGTAACCTAATTGGCCAAAAATAGTTTATCCTTTCCCCTTTCAAACCGAGAGGTACTAACAAAAATATTCTATATTTAAAAGTTATAGTATAAAAAGAATCAATCAAAGAAAGAAGATGAAGACTTATTGGACATACCCTAAGACACGAGGAGGAACTACACCACACAATTTTGGAAGGACAAATAGAAGGCAGGAGAGGCTGAGGACGTCCAAGAACAACGATAATAAATAAAGTTATTAAAGATGCCGGACTGAGAACCTATAGAGAACTGAAGAGAATGGCCAGTAATAGGGAAGAGTGGAGGGAGTACGGAAGTAGAATGCTGTAAAACCAATCTAAGGGTTGAATACTAAAGAAGAAGTATAAAAAGTTAAATTGTATGAAATATTTTTTAGACAGAACACTATCGAAAAACGTTGGCAATATATGCATATGTTTTGCACATGAGTAAACCGTGCAACAAACAATGTTCTTGAATATCTACTGTTTACTTTAAAGGCACAACACAATAGTAACAAATTTGAAACAGTGTACAGTCCTGAAGTATATTTTCTTATAGTAGGTACTGCGCTAATTCATACTATTTGAATCACAGTCACCAATCAATAATACAATACTCAAATTACATTATAAAATCTTCATAAGTATCGAATAGTTTCAAAACAGTTTTTATTTCCAAAACTTACAATTTAACATTCTGAATCTGAGTTTATTTTTTTGATAAATTAACATGTATTTGAAAAGTATACTGTTTTTCTACGTGGCGTCTTTCTTTTTCCAATGTCAAGGTGTCCTTCCAACTGAAGAACAGATTGTAAGTAAACCAGCACTTATTATTTATTATGATCGAGATATAACGCTGAAATTCTTGTTTAACTTTATACAGAGATGGATATTATTTAGAAAATTGTTTACCTAAATATTTATTTCAAATCATGATTTTATTCAAATGACCGACAAATAATTTTTCGAACGATTGACGTATAATTTTTAATTTGGATAATTATTATGCTTGATACAGGATGGGTGACCGACCGGGAAAATTTTCATTATTAAAAAAAAATAAATAAATAAATCTCGGCCCACTCTCTTTATTAGACGAAAAGATTTGATTTAGGTCTCTGATTTTATGATAAAAATTTAAAAAATTAAAAATTGGTCGAAATCGATTTTTTTAAAAAATAACTTAAGAAACCTCTATTTTTGGGGCAAAGATTAGTGATAAAAATTTCCAAAAAATGAGAGTACTATATAAGACTAAAAGAAAATTTAAAAAAAAAAATTTCAACAAAATTTGAGGTCAGGCCGATGACCGCGTGATTTTACTTAGAATGCCTCATATATATAGAAAAAGAAATTAATTATTAATAAGAATAAACATTAATAACTTTGTTTATCAATGGCTTATAGTGGGCCTACCCAAAAAAAAATTCCTAGCTACGCGCCTGTGTAAGTGCAAATTTAACTGTTCAACAGAAAACGTGATTTAAAATTTTAGTGCAATGGTAACCGTACACGATGGTAAACGACAAAACTGCTCTCTAGCGGTCAATAATAAGTATTACACTTATGCCACGGTTTTACTCGATAAAATTCAATGTTATCATACTGTTTTCGTATTTAAGTCAAAAAGTCAAAAATTTGCACTTGCACTATTGTTCCACTGAAGAAGCGATATATTGTTTAGAAAATGTATTTAATGTTCTTACAATCTCCAGTTACGCTTTGAAAAATATTTTTCACTTATACTGAATATACTTTTACACTTATTCTGAAAATTATAGACTATGATTAAAGACTTGATCGCGCCAAAATTGGACCACGATGGCAAAATGAACTTTAGTCAATTAAATGAAGTAGTACTCCAAGTACAACAAAAAATCTACGAAAAATATGGCATAACCAATGAAAATAATATTGATTTCGGTAATTTACAAATCGATTTTGTTATTTATATAGTTGAAAATAAAAATAAAATTTTAACCAAAAAATCATAACTCTTAAACAAAATAAAAACTTTTAAAAAACGGGTACATTTTGATGATGTACAAAACAAATTATAAAATGTAATAATTATCATGTGATAAGTTCATTAACCAATATCACTATGAATATATAATGTGATTTGACTTTATTATTCTTAAATTACAATAACATAAAAAACAAAAGTTTTGCAATTGTAACACGAAACTATTCTCAATTCCCTTGCTGTTAAATTTGGTTATTTTAATAATAAATAATACTATGTACTTTCAGGTTTTCAATATGACAATGATCAAGTTGAAATCGCCATCCTATCGTATATAGCTATAGGAAAACCAGAATTAAATGTAAATAAAAATATAAAACTATACTACAAATAAAAAGCTCGTTAGTTTGTTTGTGTTTAGGTATTTAAAATATTCAAACTTTTAATTCTCCCATTTAAAATAGGTTTAACACTTGTAATTCTAAAAAGTATAGGTTTTTATTATTAGTATAAAAATTCTCACCTTCTCGAATGATATTGTTTTTCTCTCAAACCATAAAATGATTTTGTTACTGGATTCTTACATACAAAACAAAAAAATAAATATAAAAAGCTTACAAAAAGAATTCTTCCATTTTTTACAGAAATGAATAATTTAAATTAAAACAAATTTCCTAAAATAAAACTTATGCTGCATGTCTGTTACGACAAAAAGATTATTTAAAATTTATTTTTTTTTTGGCCAAAATAATCGAAAAAAACCCAAAACAAGTTAAGAACATTATTTTTATCGTAACATACATGCTGGGTACGTTTCAAAAAATTCCAAGGGGAGGGGGTTTCTCCAAACGTTTGTTCATAGTTTGGCGTTTTGGTTGGCTAAAGAAGGATTAGGTTTAGTGTTAATTATAAAATACATTTTAAAAATAAATTCATATTCTGAAAATTATAGAGATTGGTTAGAGACATAGTCGAGAATAATTTGGGGCCAGAAACCTTCGTACCATTTAAGAAAATAAAAGCTATATGTGTCAAAGTAGCTAAGGCAGTTAATATAACACCCAGAGACTTCACCAGTATTGATGTGTTTAGAAGGCTGGAATTAAAATCAAGTAATTAAACAATTTATAAAAATATATAATAAATATGTTGAGTAAAATGGTTAAAAACCATTGAAAAAAAATCATCATTAACAATCAAGTGTGTCATTTTAATAACTATAAAAAAGTATTATTTTTAAGCTATGAGTTAGTAACTAATAAAACCTAATAAAAAATTGAGAAAATTGGGACCTAATTTTTATTACATTATTATTCTAAAAACTACTATTATTTTGAATATAGATGTTTTTTTAGTATACCACATAGTTATTCTCAACTCAATTGATCTGATTCGTTTGTTAAAAAATGTATAATATTTTGTACTTTCAGACCGTATGTTTCGAAAGGATTATGTTGTAACCTTAGCCCTAGCGTTTGCTGCTACAAAAGAACCGGGAATACGTGTAAATAAAAACCATAATACTATATTTCAGATAAAAGGCTTGTTAGGTTGGTTTTGTGAGATATTCAAAATATTCAAACTTTAAAAAAAGTTAGACATTTTCCATTTTTTCATTTCTGGTCTCGATAACTATTGTCTTTCTTTTTTATAGTAAATGATTTTGACACTGATTCTTTACATATAAAAATATGTTTAATAGAAGAACCATTTCCGAACGATTTTTTCCAATTATTGATACAGTAAGAGAGAATTTAAATATAAAATCTTCTCCCATTTTTGATATAATTTACTGGTTTATCGTAAGACGTTACATTATACTTAGTAGAGTGATTTTACAATTAGAGTTACACAATTATTGGGTTTGACACGTTAAACGTATGTTCTCACCTTATGGTGAAGTTGGTACTGACTACCATCGCACCTCTAATAATATGAAATCAATACGTTAGCTAATATAAAATTGATGTTTTGTTGCATATAAAAACCTCATTGGCCTTTTTGTGTCTTGTAGATAGCAGTTTTTATTTCGCTAAAGAGAAATCAGTTTTATTTATAACTTGTAATACACTATTTAATTTCTTATTATTACTCTTATAATAATAGGAAATAGTAAAAGAAAAGATCCAGCGTTGTGATGATAGTCTATTTAAATATTATGAAGAAGTCATAGCAATATGCACGGAAGTACAAAATACAGCGCATGTACCCATGGAATTACCTACATATGAGCAATTCATAGAGCCATGGAAAAGTAATATAACAATAGAATAATATTCAATAAATGTGTCAAGTAAAATGTTCAAAAACTATTGCAGAAACATTATGATAATAAAACTTGTCATTTTTATAGATGTAAATTATTTTTTTTTTCAAACTAAATATCAAAACTCGAAAAAAAACTAACAAATTAATTGATATTACATTATTCTACTCGTACGATTATTTGAAGCAAAGACATTTTTTTTAGTGTAACATTGTTATTTTTAACTCAATTGGCCTGATTTGTTTGTTTATAAAATGTATAATAATTAATATTTTATACTTTTAGATGGGTCATACGCAGCGGAAACAGTTCAAAATGCCATTATTCGACATTATTTTCCTTGATAGTTTGATTATAACATTAACTGTTCTCGAATTACTGCATGTATGTAATATTTCACATGTTCACATACAAATGTAAATTTGATTGATTAATATACTATTTTGCTCTTATATTTCGTCACTATTTATTGAATAATTACCGAATCCCAGCAAATCAGTCCACGGTTCAAACCCGTAAACAAAACCAATGACTTTTGTTTTGTAACTAGTCACTTTTTATAATGTAAAAATAATATTTAAACAGTAATATCAATCCAAGTACCATTTCGAATTTGTAAGCTTCGTGAAATTTTCAAATACTCTGTTAGTATGCTAATTTCTAATGAAGTCCAGTAGTCTGTGTATTTGAAGAAAATCCAAAAACCATAAAAAGAAATATCGCATCAATGAAATTAAGGACCTCTTAAGCTCTACATGGAATCTAAAGTACACATTGCTTATTACAATCTAGCTTTTCTTAAAACGAAAACCCTCTAAGTAAAATTCGAACCGGTTTTCCAAGTTTTGAAATTTTGTTGACATTTTGTCCATATTATTTCGGCGCTTTGCAATTTAAGTAACACTATTTCAAAATAAGCCAATTGACTTTTTTGGTAAAAATTATCAATAGCAGTAAACATGTAAATTTAAAATCAAATTATTGTTCACAATGAAAAGACTAAGACTTTACAATTTTTGAGTTGGGTTTCCGTTAACTGTATAAAATATTCATGATTTTTGCTGAGAGCTATTACTGAGACAAAGGGAATAATATTTAAAGGTTTAAAAAACATTATAGTCGATTAAAAGGGATACAATGGATGAAATTAAACGTGTCATCTACCATGACCACTTACATGGAAGAAATATCATATAGAGAATAAATATCTCAAATATCTCATATAGAGAACTCCTCTAGTCAGAACGGAAAATTTGAACCAATAGGTAATAGGATTAGCGTATATCATTTGGAAATGAGTACATTTTATTCCGTAAATGTTGAAGCAGAGCTATAGAGATGAATCCAACTTTTGGCTGGTTGACAATTTAAAAAAAAAACGGTATCGTAATGAGTTGTAATAACTATTATGTAGATGATGTCCTTAATAATGTCTATGCCTATTGAAATTTAGTACAGATGTGTCCCCTTTTAAATTCCTACTAAATTGTAGTAATATTTCTTTTTTTTTATAAATTAAAATAATATTGCACAAACAGTAGGTTATAAATGTTTATTTGAAAAGAAACAGGGATTTTATAGTTATATAAGTCGTTATGACGTATCGTATTTTGAAACATTTGTTTAATATCATTTTAAGAGAATTAAAAAAAAATTATACTATTAATTAGATATATTATTATATTATTGGATTACTCAGACATGATATTTGATAATATCTCCGTCTAGCTCCGTCTAAGTGTTATGGATAATGGGTGATTAATAACCGATGGTGTTTATGCCAAATAACTCTTCTATAACCCAGTTCCTACTAAAATGGTATTTTTAGTGCACATATTTTATTTCCATAAAACTATCTTTATTACACAGCCTAGTAAGCTAGGTATGTGTGTTTAATTTTCATTTACCTTTAAAGGACATCGTGACTGTAATAAAAATGCATTTACTAAGTTAAATTTAGTAAACATATATTTTAACACAAGAAAGTGGAATCTATTTACATATTTTTTTTTTCAACATCAATAACACTTACAGGTTCTATTTTTGTACAATAACATATTATGTTTCTATTCCAAAGTAGTCTACAAAACGTGTTGTGTAGTACATAAAATATACAATAAACTAAAAAAAAAATGTTTATAAACTTAGTTTAGAACAATTTTTTTTCTTAATTTTTACATTTCTCCGATCTAGTGTGTCCTTTTATGCGTTATGAGATAACCCGGTTGGGAGAACGCCTTTAGGCATACTTTACACTGAAACGATCTTAGAGTTTGAACTATAATGCATATTTATTAATACAGTAATGAGGATACTTTGTTGGTTGCCATTTTTTTTGTCAGACAATCACAGTCATTTCCATAGGATAAATTATAATTTTTTCCCTTCAAAACTGCCTTGCGCGAATTAGTTTTTCTCAGGCAACATATATAGTTAATACAGCCATTCATTAACTGGTTGAAATATTAAAAAAAGGGCGATGGTAGAGCACAGACAATGGTGTTGTCTATATTATGTAAAAATTTGATTTCTTAGTTTTAATTATAGCCTTTGTAAAATTAATCTGCGCAAGGCGGGTTTTTTGAAGAAAATAACGGGTGTGTGACCTCCTCTTAAAGAGAAAAACTAGTTGCAACAGAATAATTTCAAATTTAATTTTTTATTTGGATAAGTCAATAAATACTGAAAAATATTGTATTATAACTGTTGTATTGATTGAGTTATTATTTTTTTGCGACTTGTGATTTATACAATTCGGTACTTCTTAATTTAAATTATTTGAATACAAGTATTTAAATGGTTTTTCGAATAGCTATCTGACACGGTGGGGTATTGCCATCATCGCGGTCTGGACTATTACCCGAACCGCGATGACAATACCCGGCCGAGTCGTGCTTCCCTAATTGCCCATTAAGCAAAACCTCGGCGCAGCTTATCAGCAATGGTGACCGCCGAAAAGTAGTTGTAGTATTGTTGTCGAATTAGCCGTCATTATTATCAGTCCCGTGTACCTATATACTCGAATAAAGGTTAATAAGAATTAAAGTTTGTTGTTGATATTTTAATTACTTAAAGTGATACCAAGATTGTCCACGGTCACGACAATTGGCGCAGTCAGTAGTTTTAGGACTTTAAGGAAAAAAACCGTAAGTACAACATTTTATTTAAAAAGTAGTACAATTCTTTTTTCCCTACGACCAAAAAATTTTTTTTTAGTGAAAAAAAGTGAATAAATAATTTTAAGCGGTGCAGTGAACGGGTGTACGCATAACATAATTATTTATATTGAAGTATAATAGTATTACTATTTTTTTTTGTTGTTGAAAAAAAAAATCCCCCGTTAGTTAATTCTCGGTACGATAGCGCTCAATATATAAATATATATATACATACATTTTGTTTGTTTGTTTGTTGTGCTTTAATTTGGATATAAACCCGAAATGGCAAACAAATATTTAATGGAGCTTAATATCGACGAATTAAAAAATGAAGCGCAGGAACGGAATCTACAGACGCAAGGGACTAAAGCCGACTTGTTAATCATGTTGGAAAGCCACTTGTTGAACGTAGAGAAAGTTGAGCCCGCCAATGTAGTATTTAAGTTGGATAGTGTCAAAAACCAGTCCATTAGTGACGCCAATGATGACGATAAAAACCAAAACGGTGTAAACGACAACGTCAAGGAAACTCGACGTCTGTTGGACGGCCCCGAAATGGAAAACCGTCTTGGCACACTGGAAAACGGTGTTGACACGATATCCGACCGCGTGGTAGGTTTAGACACGGAAATCGACATTATTCAAAACCGACTAAAACAATTTAATTTGTTAATTGGGAGAATAGGTCGATTAGAAAATATTTTAGACGACTATGGACTCCTTAAACCGCTTTCAACGGAAACGGACCAACCGACGGAAAATATAATGTTGTCTAAACACGCGCAATCTTCATCTTACCCTAAACCACACCAAAATAACGGAATAAATCAGGAGACAGTCAGCCATTCGTCTATGTACCCGTCTTGTTCAAAAAACGGAATAGACCCGCCTACTGCCTCCTCAAATTTTGAACCGAATAAAAATTAAAGTGTTGGTATAGGAACCGAATATAACGAAATTTTATTCCCCAACCCGATTAATTTTACAAACGGAACCACCGGACAGAGCTCAAATAATTTTTTTTATCAAGAACCACAACACAATATAAGTGGAATGGTAAAAAATAACTATGGGCGTCCACGTGGTCAACCGAATGTAACTTTTGGAGAGGGAATCATTTTTAATAATAAGCACGAGCTAAATAGCACGGCTCATCAAAATTCTTTTTTATTACCACAGTATAAAATAGATATTGTCCGAAATTCTTTACCCGAGTTTGGCGGAAAGAAAGTTGAGAACCCCAAACGGTTTTTGAGCGCCGCCGCTAGCGTACTCGTCGAGGCTGATGTGCCCAACGAAAATGGGTAAAAGTGTTAACCCTACAGTTAAAAGGCAGCGCGGGCACTTGGTGGGGAACACTGCGCGCTCTAGAAGTTCTGCGAATTTGATTTTCCTTTTTATTAGATAGGCTTACTCAAATGATAGTTTTATAGAATTAAAATGTAATGATTAATAACAAGTTTGAATAAAATAAAGTTAATTAAGTATGATTTTTTTTTTAATTTTAATTAGTCCAATTAACAGTGCCTACAGTGTTATTGACCCAGTCGCTAAATTGCATCTAAATTTTCTTAATACAAAACTAGATTGGAACATTTTTATTTTTATGTACTGTTAACGATTTATGAGGTGTGAAAAAATGTACTTATGTGTTTTTGGAAAGGAAAAAAATATGTATATTTCAATATCGTTTTCTAGAGTGAAAATGTCTTCTTACAAATCTCACATTGAAAATGTTTCTCGCCAGTATGCGTACATAAATTAAAGTAATAAGGAAGACTTTAAGGCTACTTAGACGCAGAAGTGGCCTAGCCAACCGTTTTCCTTTGGGAATCAGTCTATTTTAGATAGCCCAGTAGTTCCGTTACAGTTCAAACGTAGTATATTATATGTCTAGATATTAATTGAATTAAAATCCTTTTTAGTTCAGAAATCACCGTCTATGCCAGTATCCGGTAATGACGTACTGTACGTTTATAAATACAGAATTACACGTGGCATGGAGCATTAAAGGTACTTTGATACTTAAGGTCTATTGGTTACTAGAAGTTTTAAAGTGTGGAAGAATGATGTGTTTGTGTGCCCTGTGATGGTTATTTAGGAGCTCAAGAGTACATAACATGAATGAAATGTCTAAAGGGCAATCAGTATATATTAAATAGGAAAATAATTGAAGAGTAATAAATAAGTAAAAATAATTTTTAGAAAATAGTTTTGATTATTCGAGTGTAGGGTGTGCTTATAAAAACGGT